ATATATATATATATATATTCTGTTTTCATTGAAGGTTTCCAGAGCACTTTAGATTCCCATTCAGCCATTTCTACACAAGTTGTTCATTGCCATTGGTTATATTCTTCACAATGCATGAACATGCTCATTATTTCTGTTCTGGTTGTTCCATCTCCATTAATCTAGTTTCCCTGCCCCCTTATAGCTTCATCTTTGTTTTAAGGTAATCATGGCCATTTGGTTTCATACAGGTGATTTTTAAAAATGATTCCAGTACTTATGAGGGGTATTCATTATCTCTGGAGCCAATTTGTTATTTAGCTACAAGGTGACCTCAGGGGTTAGTTTCAGTTCCAGGTTTGAAGAGTATCTCAGGCATCAGTGTCAGAGGATGGGGGAGAGGAGTCGTCCTCCAATCTCAACTTGTCCAATAAGTCTGTTTTCTAGGAATTTGAGGTTTGGGCCTACATTTTCCACCCATTCTGGCAGGGTCCAATCTGTTACGACCCTGATTCGAATGGCGAGTAGTGGCAGCCAGGGACCATCTAGTTCTTCTGGTCTCATCTGGGCCAATTTGAATGTTCATAGTTGGTGGGGTAATGGGATGAAAGACCACCTATAGTCTATGCTTGGGCCCACCTCCATCTCTCCAACATAGGCTGGTCTCGCCTGAGCCTCCACCTAAGGGCTTCCTGGTGATGGGCTCCAAGTTCCGGTATAGTGGGAGAACTCAGGCACAGACCCGCCAGGCCAGCGCCCTCATCGACAGGCCTGCACCCTTCTTTGAACGTTCCTCCAGCAAACGGTACACCATGTCTCGCAGCCTTGATGGAGGTAAGCCCCCAAATTAGAGGTGGGGAGAAGACTGGTATTTAGAGGAGAGGGGGAAACCATGCCAGGTTCTGCAGAATGATGAGCAGGAAAGGTGGCAAAGATTGATTCATCACAAGTGTATTTGTACCAAACATGGCAGCCAGAGTGCATTGTCTCATCTGGGCAGCTCTTGGTGGTTTAGGCCCCAACCTACAGCATTGTTCCCACTCAGGATGTGACACTGCCATTCTCTGAACATCCCTGTCCCTGAGTATTGGCCCTTTGGAGTCCCAGGATCAGCCATATGGTCTCCTGTACCTCCTTCCCAAGAAGCTTAGCAATTCACAGATGCCTTATCTGACTGGAGGTTCAGGGACCTTCTTCCTAGTCATTCTTCTGGTCCCATAGGCTCCAGGCTGACTGACATCTGAACACATGGAGGTCTCCACAACCCCATTTCTGTTGGACTTATGGTTCCCTTAATATTAACTGGCCCCTTGTTCTATATCAAACAGACCAGGACTTCTGAAAGTATGGTCCACACATGGAGAGAGGGAGCTGCTAAGGACTCTAGACTCATGGAAAGAGAGGAACTGAGTGCTGGTGGCCAGGGTGTGCCCTTTTGTTGTTTAAATTATTATGTATTCCTGAGTGTTTTTGTATACATCTCCCCATCCCCCCAAAACAAAAACAAAAACAGGGAATGGAAGCAAATACTGTTGAATGATGATGCACGGAAGAGATCGAAATCATTGCAATGAAGCTATGGTGTAAAGCCAGTGTTCTCCCATGTAAACTATCACTCAGTTCATAATAATAATAATAATAATAATAATAAAATGAATAAAGCTAAAACAAAACAAAAAAAAAGCATGGTCCACAGACCACCTGCATCTGAGTGTGAAACATGAAGATTCCCAGGTTTTTCCCTAAAAAAAAGAAAGAAAAAGCCCATTGCCATTGAGTAGATTCTGACTCAGCACCCTCATAGGACAGAGTAGAACTGCACCATAGTGTTTCCAAGGCTATAAATATTTCCAGAAGCCGACTGCCCATCTTTCTTCTCAGAGCACCTAGTGGGTTTGAACCACAGACCTTGAGATTAGCAGCCAAGTGCTATATGCACTGTGCTACAAGAGCTTCTTGGCCTTCCCCTAGACCTACTAGATTGGCCTTCTTCAGGGTCTGGAACTTGCTGGAATATGCACACTAGCGTTTGTAGGAAATTCAGAGGCCACATGGGGGCAATGGAGAGATTCACTCAGAGTTGGGCAGATCTGAATTTAGATCTCAGCGTTGACATATGCCAGCTGCTCTGTGGACATAGGAAATGTCAGTAGTATCTGAATGAATGGTTATTTTACCTTGAGTAACTGATTTAACTTCCTTGAACCTGTTTACTTGTATATAAAAGAAATAATGCCTATATTTCCATATTATGGGAAGAACAAAATGAGATACCACCTATACTCCAAGTAGATCCTGGCACATTGTAGGCCCTCACTAAAGTGTAATTGTTATTATTGCTTTTAGTGTTGTAGAAGATGACTGAAAGGGTGCGAGGTGGGGACTTGAGTCAGGGAACAGTAGGTACTCCTAGAGCACATTAAGGCAGAGCTATGGACGGCAAGTTAGTTTAACTGAACAAACATGTTAAACCTCCTCTAACTTCACTAGAGAGAAAAAGAATCCAAGGCTGATTCCTATGAGGTGTAGAGGTCAGACATACCTCCAATATTTTTACTGATTCTGACATAAACCATCCCTCCCATGGCACTCTTTATTCCTCTGCTGGTTTTGAATATTCATTGCAGTGGCCACACAGAACTCCCAGACCATACTCGTTGTTGTTGTTGTTGTTGTTGTTGTGTGCTGTTGAGTTGGTTCTGACTCATAGTGACCTTGTATAGGGTTTCCAAGGAGCGACTGGTGAGCTTGAATCCCCGACCTTGCAGTTCAAACCAACCTTGCAGTCCATCGCATTAATCTGAAGCACCATACTAGACCATACTCATAGTTAGGGGCTTATTAGGGAAGTAGCAGGACTCCTGGTGTAGCTCTGTAGGATCAGCACTGGACTCTGAACCACAAGGTCAGCAGTTCAAACCCACCAGCTGTTCCTTGGAAACCCTATACAAGGTCACTATGAGTCAGAACCAGCTCAACAGCTCTGAGTCGGAACTGACTCAACAGCACTTAACAACAACAGGTTATAATTCAGCATCAGAAAGAATTCAGGATCTAATTCTTTGATCAAGACACCTTCTTCTCAGTGTACCCACAGGCAGATCTGTCCCTTGCCCTCAACCCCTTGGGCCTCTTAGACCTCTAGGTCTCTTCGCTTTATTTCTGCCAATAAGTGACCAGGGGCACCCTATTCCACTAGTATGCCTCAGTCCAGAGGTGCTCAGTTCTCTTGTTCCGTGGGTCTGCAAGCCTAGTTCTGTCAAGAGACCAGAGGCACTCCACTCTGTCAGCAAGCCTCCTGCCCCTAAGTGCTCAGCTCTCTCCCTCTGGGGATTGGCATACACACTGTGTTGTTGTTGTTAAGTGCCATCAAGTTGGTTCTGACCCACAACGACCCTGTATAGAGTTTCCGAGGAGTAGCTAGTGAGCTTGAACCACTCACCTTGCAGTTCAAATAGCTTTGCAGTCTGGCACATTAACCCACAGTGCCACACCAGGACTCCATACCTACTACAACTACCTAATTCAGTGGGTGAGGAAACCCACTGCACCAGCTCATACTGTCCCCTGGTTCTGCTGCCACTATTTATCTACTATTGCTTCTCACAGTCTCATGTTGTCTCTGGTTTTACAGCTTTCTCTGCCTTCTGGGTCTGCGAAGTTCCTCACTGCAGGGACCCTGGGTCCAAACGATGTGCTCCACTCCCCTGTCTTTCTGGTGGTAGTGATACCCCTCTTTCTACCTCTAGGATGGCTCACTTTAAGCCTAGTGGGATGGTAAAATTGACCAATCTCCACGTTCCACACTCATTTGCACGATCCCACTTCCACAAAGGTGCTATGCACCTTATTTGCATTGTGAGAAAGCCCTCCGATTCCCTGGTGGGCACCTCATCTGCATAGTTCCATTCAATCATCGGGTGAAAGTTAGTATCATGGTGAGAAAGACTAGGTCCTTTGAGGAGCTTACAGAACAGTACATTTGTTAGCATTTATTGTGCTTCATGCAATAGGAGAAACACTTACAGAATAGAGTAGCTCTGAGTAGAGAGAAATTCTCATTAGTAGGGGCAGAAAGGGCTTTGTAGAGAGGGTGATAAATGGGTAAGGTTTTGAAGATTGCCAGGAGTTTTCCTGGTGATCAGAAGAGCCTTGACCCAGGATTCTTTGCTCATGGGGGCCAAGGGTATCTCAAAGGGTATGTACAGTTTGGCAAGGGTCTATTTGGGACTGAGGAAACTCCTTTTCTTCTTGGTGGACATAGGACTGAGAGCTAAGATGCAAAGGAAAGGGAGGACATGTACCATCCCTCTGAGTCTTCCCAGCTGCTTCCGTTACTATAAAAACTAATACCAAATCTACTGCCATTGAAGCAATTTGACTCATAACAACTCTATATAAGATTGCCAAAGCTATAAATCTTTACTGGAGCATAATGCTTCATCTTTTTCCCATAGAGCAGCTGGTGGGTTTGAACTGCTAATCTTGCAGCTAGCAAGTGCTTAACCTACAGTTGTTGTTGTTAAGTGCCGTCGAGTCAATTCCAACCCATAGCAACCCTGTATAGGGTTTCTAAGGAGCAGCTGGTGAGCTTGAACCACCGACCATGCAGTTCAAATGACTTTGCAGACTGACTCATTAGCTCACAGTGCCACACCAGGACTCCTACAGTGCTGGTGGCTAAATGAAGGCCAGATTTTGCAGGGTAGTAGAGGTTGGAGCTCTGGTAGCGTAGTGGTTACAAATTGGGCTGCTAACCTCAGGGTCAGCAGTTTGAAACTACCAGCTGTTCCGCGGGAGAAAGATGAGGCTTTCTGCTCCCGTAAAGATTTTTAGCCTCGGAAGCCCTGTACAGGGTCGCTATGAGTTGGAACTGACTCCATGGCTCATAACAACAAAGAGGTTGACCCAGAACTGGTAAAGCTCTTCAGGGGGTGGAGCAGAGACCTGAGCTCTTAGCCAGAAGACCTGGGTCCCTCTTCTGACTCTCTGATAATTACCTGTGAGGCCTTTCCCTTCTTGAGGTCTCAATTTATCCTCTGTAAAATTGGGATCCAAACCAAACCATAGAAAACAAGATCCTTCAATATGCTGTTTGCAAGAGACACACCTAACACACAAAGACAAAAACAGATTAAAAGTTAAAAGGATGGAAAAAAATGTACCAAGCTAATTGCAATAAAAAATGAACAGGAGTGGCAATACTAATTTCTGATAAAATAAACTTTAAGGCAAAAACCAGCATAAGAGATATAAAGAAGGATATTATCTCATGATTAAAGGGTCAATTGAACAGAACAAGATGACATAACCGTAATAAATATCTACGCTCCCAAGGAAAGAGTCCCAAAATATATAAAGCAAACCCTTAATAGAATTGTAGAAAGAAATAGACAAATCTACAATAATAGTGGGAGATTTTAATACACCACTTTTGAACAAAGATAGAACAGTCAGAAAGAAACTTGACAAAGACATAGAGAAACCAAACAACACAATCAGCCAACTTGACCTCATACATGTATACAGAGCATTCAACCCAACAACAGCACAATACACATTCTTTTTCAGTGCCCATGGAACATTCCCCAGAATGGACCATGTCTTAGGCCACGAAACAAACATCCATAAATTTACAAACATCAAAATGATGCTACAAAGTATATTCTCAGATCACAATGCTATAAATTAGAAATCAACAATAGGAAGACCAAGGAAACAAAGTCAAATACATGGAAACTGAATAACACTGCTTAAAAGCTACTGGGTAGTAGAAACAAATAAAAGGTGAATTCACAAAATTCCTAGAAACAAATGAGAATGAAAACACAACTTAACAAAATCCTTGGGACACAACAATTTATTGCAATAAATGCATATATCCAAAAAGAAGAAAAAATTTAAATCAGCACATGAACACAACATCTCCAACAATTAGAAATAGAGCAGCAAACCACACCCACTGTCTTCAAGTCAACGCTGATTCATAGTGACGTTGTCTATGGAATTCCCAAGACGGTAAATCTTTATGGGAGCAGATAGCATCATCTTTCTCCACCAGGGGCTACTGGTGGGTTTGAACCACTAGACTTATGGTTAGCAGTGCATAACCCACAGTGTGACCAGGGCTCCAAAATGTTATAGTAATTCCCATTTTAGCCATCAACACATAATAGTACTGTGTGATTCAGACAATGTGGTAAATGGCCACTTTGAAAAGTAAATATATACAAATAAAAAGGAAAATTACTCTTTTTATTAATCTAGGCCAAACCCCAAAGATAATCTGTACCCTGGTCAGATTACAGCCATTTTTTTCCAGCGAGACCCATTCTGTGGACCTAGTCCAGGGGATGCCCTATGCTCCAGTGCCTGGTGTGAACTCCACTCCTTCCTCGCCCATTCAGAAAAGTACTTGGGGATGCAGAAAGATTTTATTGGAGGGATCCCTTTGCATTCACTCTGATTTATAAACAAAGTAAATCATTTGCAAGCCTTCAGACATTAGCTTTCTTTAGCAAAATGCAATCTCTCAGTATCTGTGTATTTGGTATTATCACAACCACAGCAAGATTTGTGGGCCAGCATTGATTGATGGCTTACTTTTTGCCAGCCACTCCTCTGAATGTCTACATACATGGGCTTATTGGTTCCTCCCCTCAGCTTTTTGCAGTAGATATTATTTATAGATGAGAAAACTGAGGCCCTGAGAGATTGTTTAACTCACCTGAGCTCACATAGCCAATAAGAGAGGATTTGAGATTTGAACCCAGGCCCTAATGCTTTAGAAATCCAGAGGGGACCTTAGGCAGGGAGGCAGCTCCACCACTTCCTGGCAGTGTAAGCTGAGAAAGCTGTGTCAGCTCTCTGGCCACAGGCTCCTTAATCTGGCAACTGATTGGAGTGTTGAAGAGTCAGCTTCATCCCAGGCATGGTTGGGATGGGTGGTTGAACTAGCTCCTTGCTGGCTCCTTTTGGGGAGGCCTCATGTGACCTTCTCAACATCTCTGTCCACTTCAGCAGAATTTTCCCGCCCAGCCTCGGTCAGTGAGAACCATGATGCAGGACTGGACAGTGACAAGAGGGAGGAGGATGGTGAGTCTGCTGGGCGGCGGTCAGAGGCCGATGAAGGAGAGGTCAGGACCCCCACCAAGATCAAGGAGCTAAAGGTAGGAGTCAGGAGGTCTAACCTTAGCCTTGATCTTGAGGTGCCCTGGCTACAGCAGAGCATGTTTCTATGGGGTCCACCATGAACCAGATTCAGGACATCCCGGGGGTGGGGGTGGGGTGGGGCTGGAGATCAAGGGGGTGGGCACAATGCTCCCCAAATCTTCTTCCATTCTCTTTGCCCTATTTTCTCCAGAGGGGAACTCTGCCCCGTAGAGGACATTCCTAATTTGCTCCTTTGACTCCTATTGGGATCTGGATTCCTGAGGTGTTACCTCAGGCCCTTACAAGTGTGATGAACAAGTGTGTCCCCATCCTGCTGCCTCACACACCCCATATACATACACACATACCTGATTCCCAATAGACAGGTGTACACACTCAGGCAGGCATGAGCAACCTCACATTCATATGTGTTCACTCATAAAAGTATAGACTCTCTTACCCCTAGATCTGTGTGCACAGACCAACACATAAATGCACATAGGTATATGCATACACAGGCCAGGGATGGTTTCCTCTTGGTGTGGTGGTTAAGCAGTTTTTTTTCCATCATGTAGCCCGACCTTAAGAGGAGCCCTGGTGGTGCAGTGGTTTAAGCATTAGGCTGCTACCTACAAGAGTGGTGGCTCAAACTCACCCACTGCTCCATGGAAGAAAGATGAGGCTTTCAGCTCCCATAAAGAGGTAGTCTCGGAAACCCTATGGAGCAGTTCTGCTCTGTCCAATAGAGTCAGTGTGAGTCAGAATCCACTCAAAAGCAGTAGTTGCACTCATGAACACACACACCCACACAACACACACACAGAACATGAATGCCTGGACATTGTTCTGTTCCTGCCCCTTTTGCCTCCAGTCCCTCAGCCCCCTCCCTTGCGTTCCTGGGCCCAGCTCCTTGCTTCATGCCGGTCTTCTGACTACCTCACAGGCCAGCCTCTCTGGCCTGTGCTGCTTGAGTGTGAGTGCTCTGGGCTCCTGTGTTGGCTCAGACCATTTGCAGCAGTATCTCTAATCCATTTGCTCTACTGACCCTGCTGGTTCCTTTCCCTTCTGCCTCACCTGCATAGCCGGAGCAGGAAACCACGCCGAGACACAAGCAGGAGGTACTGCATGGGACCTATCCCTCCCTCCCCAGCCATCCCGGTCCCTTCTCATTTGTCACCTTCCCACGCTGTTCTCTCCCTCCTCCTCCATATCATCTCACACCCCATTGGCAGCTGCATCTTGTTAAACTCCTCCCACCATTCCATTCCCATCCCCCTCTTCACTCTCATTTCTCTTGCTCTCTGCTCAGACTCCAACATCCAGCCAGCTAGCTCGCCCGCCCTGTCTCCTCACCCCTACCATCCTCTACCCAGCTTCACACTGTCTTTCTAGATCACTTGGTACTTCATGTTTGCTTCTCATTTGCTGATCATTCCCACCAGCTCTTCCAGGCCATTCCATGCTTTCATTCAACTCATTCATCCCATACTGTACCCCAAACATGAGTCCCGAGAATCATGTCCTCCCGTTTAGTACTGTTTGATCATGCTCTCCATCTCACCTGTGTCCCCTGTGTCCTCACTGCAAGCTTCTTTTTTGTGGGAATGGGGTTGAGGTGGATGGGGGTGCCCTCTGAGCACATCTGCATCTTCTCAGACTCCAGTTCCACCCTGGGCAGGGCCTGTGCTGTTCCAGCTCCAGCTCGTTAAAGAAAATCATTTCCTCTTCCTCTTCCCATTTGTTACTTTCTCAACTTACTCTTCCTGTGTTACCCACTTCTACTTCGCCTTCTCCCAGCCACCACCTCTTCATTTGTACAAAACTGCAAGATAAGTGGGTTTCCTTGAGCTGCTGATGGAAAGGGTCAGACACTGAGTACTACAGGGGCCTGGCCTTGGAGTCATGTGATCTGGGTTTCAATCCTAGCTTTGTGACAGACTCTGAGGATCTTGCTCAAGTCCCCTCAGGTCCCAGGCCTCCATCGACACAGTCACACATTCAGACTGCGTTTCCCTAAGGCCCATCATTTTCAAGGATACCACAGCTCCCTCCAGCCTTTAGGAGAACTGTGTCCACAGAGGCAGCACCACAGGCTCGGGGTGGAGATCACAAGCTAAAGCTTGAGTTGAGATTCAATATCTATTGCAGCTCAAGCCCACATCCCCTAGCCCTCTGCCACTCCTGTGCAGGTTCCTTCAGGTTGACGTTTCCAGACAGGCATTGTCCTGAGGGCAGCGCAGCTCAGCTCAGAGAGGAATGCTGAAGGTGTCTGAAGGGATGTCTGACAAGTGGTTGAAGGGAAAGCAGAAGGCATGATGGGCTTGGTTTCCTTCCTGAGGTACCTTAGGGGTCACCCATAGTGAATCACTGGAGGCCAGCAGTGGACCCAGAGAAAGATTCTAGCTTTGTCTGAGGGAAAGCTTACTTTCTACATGGTTCTTCTGTTATACTTTGAAAAGCTGTAATGTCTTACTTCTTGTCCTGAATTGACTTGACATGATTCCTCAAATAGCCTTGCAGGGATGGGTCCTTGGGCTACCAGCCCACCTGTTCTATCCCCAGAAATAGGTAGAGAAGCAGCCTCAGCTTGTCACTGCTGGCTCCTCCACAAAGCCGCATCCTCACATGACAGATCACTCTGTCATGCATTATAGGCTTAAACTCAGACTTGTGGTCTAGTTGGGGGACACACCTATGACTCCAGCTATTCCTGGCTTAGTTCCTGATCCCAGCCCAGAACTTCCCTCTCTTCTTCTTGGTCTCGAATTCTCCTAATTTTTTTAGCTTACTGCCCCCAGAATCCTAGGTTTTCTATGTATCAAGGTACACTCCACCCTCTGTGCTATTGAAGAGTCAGGAAAGTCTCTGGAAAATCCTCGATGGTTGGAGCAGGTAGTGGCTCACAGCAGAGAAGGCTGAATGCAATTCTTTACTGGCTTCTGTTCCCTGGTGTGGGCACAGGACCTATTTTTATGGATGTCCCAGGATGACTGGGATTAGGACTATCTGTGCTCTAGGCACCCCACAGAACTTAAACAGTTGATGTGTTGTGCTAGGAGAGAACTAGACTGCGAATTCTGCTAAACACAGGGACTCAAGTCTGGGTCAGAAGATAGAGACCAAGATCCAGGTGGTCAGGGAGTGAGCCACTTGGTGGGTCCTCACTCCAGCAGATGCCCCTGCCATGGTGCCTTGACTGGAACAGAGGGAAGTCAGGGGCACGGGGGTGAACTGGGTCCCAGCACCAGAGGGAGTTCACCTAGGTCTGTGGGTTGAGTTGGGTGTTCACAGGCCAGGGAGCCAGGCAGAGGAGAAGAGAAGGTGCCTGCTTCAAGTCAGAGGTCTCCTCTTTTAAATCCTAAGTGCTATGTGCCTCAGTGGGTGTGCCTGTTGGGGGTGTCAGCCTTGCCCTGCCTGGCTCATGGGGCTGTTGTCAGGGTCCTCCAGGGTCATGGGAGGGAATGACATTGCTGTTTAGGGGCAGTGATGGTGTCAGTGTCATCACTGCCCACTGCACGCCCAAGCAGAGCTATTCCTCTAATGCTGGCTGCCTTCTCCGTCCATCCCCAGTTCTTGGACAAGCCAGAGGACGTCTTGCTGAAGCACCAAGCCAGCATCAATGAGCTCAAGAGGACCCTAAAAGAACCCAACAGCAAACTCATCCACCGGGATCGAGACTGGGAGCGGGAGCGCAGGCTGCCCTCCTCACCTGCCTCCCCCTCCCCCAAGGGCACCCCTGAGAAATCCAATGAGGTAGGTGTCACCCTAGACCTCTCAGTGGGGCTTTGGGGAAAGCTTTTGGTATGTAGTGACTTCCACTCATCCCACACATCTGGGATGGTAGGTAAGATGACAGCTTAGTCTGAAGAAAACAAATTCCCTAAATCTTGGGATCTTGGGCCCCAGAGAACACTTTGAAGCATGAAAAGCTGAAGAGACTTGCAATAGGTTGGTGTACTCTCCTTTCATCAGCCATAGCGTCGTGTTAATAAAAATGCAGGTTCTTGGACCTAACATTAGATCTACTGACTCAGCTACTTAAAGGTAGAGTCCTAGACTCTGCATTTAAAGCAGCACCTAAGGCAATCCTTCTGTCCTCTAAACTCGGAGAACCCTGTAGTTCTGCTCAGTAACCAGACCCTTTCATGCTATTTGGTGAGCGGATCCTGCTGGAAAGAAACCCAGGTGGTTCAGTGGTTAAGTGCTTAACTGCAGACTGAAATGTGGTGGTTCAAACCCACCAGTTGCACTGTGGAAGAAAGATGTAAAGATTGTTGTTTTTGTTAAGTGCCATGGAGTCAGTTACCTGTGCCATAGCAACCTTGTATAGGATTTCTAAGGAGTAGCTAGTGGACTTGAACCACCATCCTTGTAGTTAGCAGTCCAGTGCTTATCCTACAGCAACACACCAGGATTCCTCCGTAAAGATTACAGTGTTGGAAACCCAAAGGGGCAGTTCTCCTCTGTCCTATAGTATGGTTATGAGTCAGAACTGACTGGGCAGCATTGGGGTTTCACCCTCCGGGAAGTATTCAGAGACCACTGCTGTTTTCTTGTTACGTGCTGTTGAATTGGTTCTAACTCATAACGACCTTGTATAGGGTTTCCAAGGAGCTGCTGGTGAGCTGAACCATCTACCTTAATATTCAAACCAACCTAATGCAGTCTAGCACATTAACCCACAGTTCCATGTGCTCTGCAAATATCAGATCTGGTCCCGATATTTCAGAAAAAGATCCCACACAACCTGCCTTTGAAAGTGGAAAGCATGGATTTTTTTCTTTTTTTCCTCAGTTGAAAAAATAGAGGATTTTGAGAATTCCTGTATTTATAATTGAGAAGTCCTATATCTATACTCTCAAGCTATTATTTTCAGTGCTTGTTAAATCTCATCAATATTTACCCCAGATTCTACTTAAGGTGTTTTTTTCCCTCCAGAACTTCTGTATCCTGTTATCAAACCTGACTTGCTCTGCCAAGGTTCCAGTTCCTCTTCTTGCTAACTCATTAACCTCCCTGACTTCTTGCATCAAGTAGAGGCTTTTCAAAGTACCTACTTCCTAGGGATGCTGGGAGGATCAAATGAGATACAGCATGTAGAGGGACCAGCAGAGTTCCTAGAGTGTAGTAGATGCTTAGTATGACTTACTTTTTATTTCATTTTGGGAGTCCTGGCCTTTTTCACAAAGAAGGTTACCTTCAAATCAGATTTCCTTGTGTCTCAGGACATTGTATTTGCCACTAGGTCATTAAGTCACCAGTAGCCTAGGAGCAAGACCAAATCATGTGAAAGCCAATTGTCAAGTCAACTGTGTGAGTGTTGCCCTCGAAATCTTTTGAAATGAGTGATGTATCCATGATCTAATAGGCAGATCATTTGATTGAATCAGCACTGACTACACTGGACTATATAGGACTTTGCCCAGTGAGGCATAAGCTCAGAGAGAAATGCTCTGGAAGTTACCTGGTTGGTGATTAACAAAATTGGGTATGCTTTGGAGACCATCAGTAGCCTTTTTGATTAGTGAAGTGGAAGGAGGACGAACCTCTGCATCTTCTAAACACTCCTGTGGTCATCACTTCTCACACAACTAAGACTGGAGCCATGGGGCTGCTGTGGTGAGGTCCTAATGATCTTGTGAACACCACCCCACCCATCTCTTGCCTAGAAAGAGGCTTGGTCCTGCAGCCACTCTAATCATTCCTGAAGTAGACTGGGACTTGTCCTGAATGTGGATGAGGTGGGATGCAGATGCTTCTGAAAAGGCTGGACTCTAGGAGAGAAGAGAAGGGGAGGATGAGCACAGGTGAACTATGGGCTCTGCCTCTCCTGCTGGTGATAACTAGAACTGCTCGAAGATGGGTCTTAAGAGAGGTTGAGTCTGTCCTCCCTTCTTCTCGATCCAAAAAGTAGAGTCCACTGATGGACAGAGGTAGGTTCTAAGAGGTCACATTAGAGTGATGGATCATTTAGGGCTGGCCTTCAGGACCCATTGGCATTTAGGGACCCTTGAAGAGTTGGGAGATGGGAGGAGCCACGGACAAGGACAGGAATAGATTCTTGGGTGAGTGACTTCACCTCCCTGAGCCTCACTGCATAGTCCATCTAAAGGGGCATCAAGATTGCTACTCCAGATTGAATGAAATAATGGTTCTAAAAGTACTTTATAAACTAGGTAATATGCGGTCATTGCTGATGGTGACTAATAGTACCCCTGATCAAATATGGGTTCTGTAGGGGGACATCCTGCAAAGTGGTGGCAGTCAGAGTTCCTAATAGCATCCTCACATATAGTTGGCCCCCAACACAATAGGAACTTAAATCAAAATAAGGACTCCAAAATACAAAAAAACATTTCCATTTGCTAAGCCCAGGTGTTAATTTCAAGGATAACTTTTTTAAAGGGCCACAACCCCAAACTGCAGGATTGAACTAGAACTGAAACCAAAGTCACGTAGGGAAGACTTGGAATCAAAGTCTAAATCGTGTGGTTCTAAAAGCTTTCAAATGAGAGGAAAAGGCTGAAGCCACCACGCTGACTGGCAGCTGACCCTGTGCCTCCCTCCCTTCAGTGGTGGTCTCGTTCCCACTTTGCCCCCGTGGTATAGCTCCTTCCGACAAACACTAAAGATATGCGATTTACCAAGCTGTGCTATTTATAGACTTTATGTGTGTGTATGTCTCTCCTGCTTTTCTCTTTTTCCCTCTCTTCCTGCCTCTGTCTCTTTCTCGCTCCTTCCCTTCCTCCCTCTTTCTTTTTCCTCCGGCACTGGGCCTCCCGTGCAGTCCCAGAGGACCCAGGACACCTCTCAGCAGGACTTGGTGCCTGAGCCTGGAACAGCCATAGGCTTGGAAGTGTTCACTCAGAAAAGCCTCGCAGCATCACCTGAGGTTACTGTCTGTTTTCACCTTTCTGTGCTCCTTCCCTCCTGGGATCTCCTGCCCGCACACCACCACCCTCTAGATTTTAAAAATACCCTTCCTCTGGGGTGAGAGGGGTGGATCAGATTCTCTCATACAGATGGGAGTGCTGGGTAACCCATGTTGTCCCCAGGCTGTGACAAATGACCATCCACATTCCAGGGATCCATAAAGGACCAAGCCCTCCTTCATCCATTGTTTCTCAAAGGGACATGACTGAAACCCTTCTGGGAAGACAGAACAGCCTGAGTTGACTCTGGCTGTAAAGGAGAAGGCAGAAATGATCTCCCTGTCAGACTCTGGTGAGGCAGGCAACATCAGCCAGGCTCTGACGTCTAAGCTCTGGGATCTGGGTCTTCCCTGAGCTTTTGCCTCCACTGAGAAGACTGCATAAGGTCTAAGGGTGGCTGGTTAGGGAATGGTATCCCATTCATCACCTGCCTTTGTTCTCTGTAAAATCCTCCTCTGTCAGGGTACCCAGGTGGGCAAAAGTGGGTGAGCTTCCCTAGTTAGCATCCCTCAGGTTGTAGAGGTATTGGGCAGCAAATGTTCTAAATGAGGAGGCTTTGCTTCTGTACCAAGGATGGCAGAAAGTGCATTGGTCTTGGTACTTCCCATGCCCCTGCATGGTGCAGGACACACAGTCCGGGCCTATGCATCAGAGGCTCATCTGGGAAGTCATAGCCACTCAGAATTAGGAGGTACTGGTTGAACCTTCCTTCTTCCTGATTCTGACCCTCTTTTGATGGCATAGTGTATGTATTGAAACAGTAAAACAGACATGAGCCAGGACATATGTGGTAAAACACAAATCACAGTTCTATGGCATGGATTTTTGAGAGAAGTTGAACAGGAGTAGTCAGTAGCGCTCCAAGTTTAGAGAAATAAAGATACCCTGACGCACGGAACCAACTGAAAGGTTGCTGTTTGAACCTACCAGCCACTCGGACAAAAGCTGAGGCCGTGTGCATCCATGAAGATTTACAGCCTTGAAAACCCTATGGAGCAGCCCTTCTTTGTGCTATTGTGTGGCTATGAGTCAGAATTTGCTCGCTGACAGTGCGTTTGTTTTTTGTTTTGTTTTGTTGGCTCAGAGCACAGAGATGCTCCTAGAACTAACAACAGGTATCCACACTGGGAGACAGCCCCCATCATGCACCTTTTATCAGCATCCCTGCACACTATCCATCCAACTTCTTCCACAGAGGCAATTCTCACTGCCCTTTAAGGGAGCTCATTTTGTCTTCAATCTTCAACTGACAGGCTTCCATACTGAATTAGAATCTAAATCTGCTGTTGTGAATCACCTGCCTGTGGGCTTGGCCCTGCCCCCACTGGCACTCATAGATCTGTTCTACATCTTTCTTCAAGGAAAGGCCTTCAGAGATTTGAACACTTTCCCACCTCATCTTTTCTTCTGGAAGTTAAACACTTCCAGTTCCTTCAACAGTGTCTCCTAGGAGATGGTTTCTAGAGGGCTCCTTGCCCTGAAACCCCTCCCAGAATGTGACCCAGAGTTCTAGGTGGGACCAGAGCAGCCTGGAGAGAACCACCTAGCTGGAGAGTTCCTTCTTGCCTTCACTGTGTGGGAACAGAACTTATTCCACCTCTGCCCCCAGCCTGTTCCAGGACTTCTCTTTGGCTGCAGTGCCCCTTGCTGTAGCAGGTGGCGCTCTGAGCAACATTCAGTGGAAAGACAAAATCTAGGGCTACCTTAACATTGGAGACCTGGTGTGGTGCTGCGGGTTAATGCACTGGACTGCAAGGCCAGTTTGAATCACAAGGTCAGCAGTTCAAGCTCACCAGCCCCTCCTGGGAAGCCCTATACAGG